CACGTACCCGCACGTACCCGCGCACGCTCACCCCCCTGCCCCACACTCGCGCCACGTCCCCCTGCTCCCCTTCTCTTGCCTGCGCTCGCAACCTCCGCTCCCACTGGTACACGGCCACCACCGCCACCACCACCACCACCACCACCACAAGGACCACCATGCTCTCCCGCCTGACGAGCATCGCCCCGAGCCGCGCGGGCCTCCGCTTTGCGGCCGCCCTGCCCACCATGGTCCAGCGGTCGCTCTTCATCCAGACACAATCGACGCCAAACACCGATGCGCTGATGTTCCGCCCCGGCCAGCCGGTCATGACCACCGGCAACACGGTGGACTTCACGGACGCCACGCAGGCCGGGCCATCTCCCCTGGCGCGGCGCCTCTTCCGCATCGAGGGGGTCCGGTCGGTCTTCCTCGGGCCGGACTTCGTCACGGTCACCAAGCACCCGGCCGACGAGTGGCAGCTCATCAAGCCGGACATCTATGCCACGATCATGGATTTCTACACGGCCGGTGGCCAGCCGGCCTACATCGAGCCCAAGGGCGATGACGCCGACCCGGAGGCCATCCAGGAGGAGGAGGACGAGGTGATCTCCCTGATTCGCGAGCTATTGGACACGCGCATTCGCCCGGTGCGCATGGGCCCTCCCCCGCTCGCCCTTCCTCTTCCTCTTCTTTTTCTTCCTTTTCTCCCGCCCTTTTGCCCGGTGCTCATGGCATCCTCCCTCGGTGTCCATCTGGCCGTTGGCTCCTTTTTTGCCGCCGGAGATCTGACCCCCCCGGCCCCGGTGGGGCATGTACATGGGAAAAAAAACAACAGAACCTCCAAGAGGATGGCGGCGACGTGGATTTCATTTCCTTCCGCGATGGGATTGTTCGGCTGAAGCTGCGCGGCGCGTGCACCACCTGTGCCTCGTCCACGCAAACCCTGAAGCACGGCATCGAGAACATGCTCTGCCATTACATCCCCGAAGTCGAGGGGGTGGAGCAGGTCCATGATGAGCTCCTGGACCAGGTGTCCTCGGAGCAGCTGCGCAAGCTGGAGGAGCGCCTCGGCGAATACAATGCCCAGGCCGAGGCCGAGTTCGATGCGGCTCAGGCCGCCGAGGATGAGGTGATGAAGGCCGCCGCTGCCGCGGCTGAGGCCGCCATCGAGGACGCTCGCCGCGGGGGTGCCCCTTCCGGAGGCTCTGCCTGAGAAAAGGACTGGGCGCGCGCGCGCGCGCGCGCGAGAGGGAGAGAGGCAGCGAGGAGGGGAGAGTGCTCGCCACGCCCGACCTCGCGCGCATGTGCCGCCACGTCTTGCTCTCCCTCTCCGCCTTGCGATGGTGGCCCAGCCCCACGCCCGCCATCTCTTCTCTTCTCTTCTAGACACCATACACACACACACACGCACCAGAGAGGGCCAACGAGGGGCCGGGGGTCCTCACCATCTGCTCGTATATTCATGCTTGCGCGCTCAGCATACTGGGGGGGGGAGGGCAACATGTGCCGGTGATATGTGAGCGCCCTGCAGGGGCGCGTGGCCAGCGGTTACCAGCGCATGTAATGGGTGGGGCACTGCGAGCCGCGGGCCAGGGCCAGGGAGAGGGCCACGGTCAGGGCCAAGACAGGGAGACGAGGAAAAGGGGCGAGGGGGGACCCTGACAAAGGGTCCGGAGCGCACCTCGTAGCCGCCCGGGTTCTTGACGAGGTACCGCTGGTGGTACTCCTCGGCGGTCCAGAACTTCTGGGCCGGCACCAGCTCCGTGGCAATGGTCAGCCCGGCCGGGCCGTAGTGATCGCGGCCCACCTGGTCCAGGACCTGCAGCGCCTGCTGGTGCTGCTCCTCCGAGGTGAAGTACACCCCGGAGCGGTACTGCGTGCCGCGATCCGGGCCCTGGCCGTTGATGTCGCTGGCGTCGTGGATGCGCAGGAAGAACTCCACCAGGGTGGGGAAGGACACCTGGCTCGGGTCGAACTCCACCTCCAGAGCCTCGGCGTGGCCGGTGGTACCGGAACACACCTGCCAGGCAGTGGCAAGAGCGGGGCGGCGGCGGCGGCGGCGGCGGCGGCGGAATATACCAGGGCTTGCGTGTAAGGATATGGGAAACGAGGCACGAGGGCGCAAGCGGGGAGAGGCGAAAGGGAGAGAGTGGGGGGGGGGGGGGGGGGGGGGGGGGGGGGGG